CGGGAGGGCGGGCGCCGAGGGGCCGCGCGAGCCGACAGGCCCCCGCCCTGGCTTGGCGGCCGCTGCAGTGGGCGCCTCCCCCGGCCGGGCCGAGCAGGGCCGATCGTTCGTTTTCGTTTGGTAGAAGCGGAAGGGGCGTAAATCACCAGGACCCTTCCCCGCCAGTCCCCAGGTTGGGCCTCCGCCCTGCTCTGAGCGCCTCTGGAGACCCGTGGCCCTCTCCGCCCTCCCGGCCCGCCCCGGCTTCTCCGGTCCTGCTTCGGCATCGCCGCAGGAACCTCATCTCTGGAGCACATGAGGTCCCAACTTGGGTCAACGGGACCCGCCTTCTGGGCCAGTTAGAGGCCGTGACACTCCAGGCCAGGCCGCAAGAAAGTCCGCGTCTTTCTCTGTGGGCCCGAGGGTCCCAAGCGCCCCTGCCCTGGGCGGACATGCATCAGGCATCGAAGAGACCTTTTCTGGCCTGCGGGGTTTTAGGCTTGGGTTTGCATCCCCGACCCAGCGAAGCGAAGCCTGGGCCAGCGCCCGGCTCTGCGCAGTGTTCAGAGCAGAGCCGGCCAACGTGAGTTGTGGGGAGGCGGGTAACCTCTTAGGGTCTAACAGCACAGCGTGAACCCCAACACCTGCAGCCCTAGCGATCTCTTTGGGGTTTCTAGGAGCCCAAGAATATTTAACAGGTTGTTAGCATACCATCATCAGTGTTGAATCATCGCCTCTGTCACAATATAAAACATTCTATGCGGTTTGTTTTATTTGAAATTTACTGGCGGATCCAGCCCTCGCTAACGTCTCTCATTCCTCTTCGGGGATTTGCAGCTCCGCCACCTGCCTCCTGCGTTCTTTTCTCCGTCACCTGGGTAGTTTCTGCATCTCAGTTTGTCCGCAGCCTGACAGGTTTGCGTGTGCTCACCTGGGCTCTTGCTTTGCTGAGAGGAGCCCAGGAATTGGCACTTTAGTTGGCATCCAGGGGGTCCTGGGTGGGTGATCCACCTGTCCCTTTGAGAAAGGAGCCTGGTTGGTCCTGGAGGGGTGTGGGGCTTTGGGGTCCCGCAGAGCTGGGTGTGGACCTCAGCAAGGTACTCAATCCCTCAGAGCTCTGTTTACGCAGCAGGAGGCAGCCCTTTCTCCCCCTCCCTAGCCTCAGCCCCGGTCCTTAGCTGACCCGGGCCTTCCCCAGGAAGGAAGCCAGGCCTGGTGGAGGGGCTTGGGGGCCTCAGGGGAAGGAAAGGGAATCAGCGTGACACTTTTGGGGCCATCCATTTTGAATGGAGGGCCCAGGACTGCCATCCAGGGCCCAGGCCCCTTTTCAGGACTCCAAACCCTCCTCCCCAGCCTCCCATTTCCTTTTGGTACCTCTAGCTTCACAGTCTAACTCCTGCCCCTCCAGACCTTTGAAATTGCTCTTTAAGACATCAGCTTCTTGATACACCTAAAGCCCTTGAAAGATCCGCACCCTGCTCCCTCCCCCCCCAACACACACACAGAAGGGGCCCTGGCTCTTCTCCGGGGCAGGAAGGTAGCTGCTGGGCCAGCCTGAGCCCTGGGAGGGCCTGGGCTCTGGCCCCGCTCCCACAACCGACCCGCACATCTCCTCTGCCCAGAACTCAGCCTTTTTTTCTTTTTCTTTTTAGCACAAAGACGTTAACATCAGAGGTTTACAGTAAGAGAAGGTGGGAGAGGCCCATGGACTGCAAGGAGGCGGCCTGGCTGTGGAATCTCATCTGTCTGCACCTGGGCTTGGCTTTGGGCCTGAACGGGCCCGGGGGGGCCTGGGCCTCTGGCTGAGCCACAGTGGCTTCCGTCCTCCCAACCCCGCCTCCCTCCCTCTGCTCTGGATGCCACTCAGCCCTGGAGCACGGAGAAGGTGGTTTTGGCCGGTTTCGCTCGCCTGGCTCAGCAGGCAGAGCCACACAGGGAGACGCGTTCCAAGCTCTTTGAGAATGATCCGGGGTCTTCTCTCCTTATGAGTGGGTCGTGGCTTGAGCGGCATCCTTCGCGGTTCTGAGTCACTGCGGTTGGGGCGGTATAAAGGTGGGCCGGGTGGGATGGCTGAGGATGCAGACTCCGGAACTGGCCACACTTGAAGTAGGATCCTGGCCGAGGTTCCAGGCCAGGCGAGTGAGGCGAGTCACACAAGTCTTTATCGAAGCTGTTACTCTTTTGATTTACAAAATACTGCATTACGGTATATTGTTTCTCTCAGTTACTGACTTTGGGGGGCAACCTGTAAATATTGTGCCTTAGGCCAGGGCCTTACCTGCCTCGCCAGAGGCTCAGCCTTGCTCCGTGACCTTGAGCAAACACTTTCTGAGCCACGGTTTTCCCAGCTGTAAGATGGGGATGATGCTGTCCAGTTCACGTGGTCGTTTGCACTCGGCTAGGGTCCTTTCATATGCATTTTATAGTATAACTACTGATAATCATAGCCAGAGCTTTTTCTCTGGCAGGTTAGAGCCCCCAGGCTTCTCTCTCAGGCCCCCATTGGAGAGGTCAGCTGCCCCTTCGCTGAGGGCCTTCTAACCCAAACCAGTTTTTCATGTGAAGTGGGTAAGGGGTGTGGGTGATTAGGCCAGTCCTGGGTGCTAATATCTCTCTGCTCTGTAGACAGATGGGTTGGATGAGGATTTGGACAATTCGTGGGCTTCAAGGTCATGCTGTTCTCAACCATTTTTGTTGGTTTGGCTGAAAACCCCATGGAGTTTTGGAACCAGAAAAGGAGCATATTCTTTCTTTTCCTCTCTTCCTCCCTCCATCCCTCCTTCCTACCTCACTCCCTCCGTCATCCTTCCTCCTTCTCTCTCTCCTTTTTCCTCTTTCTCTCTTTTCTTTTCCCTCCTTCCCGCCCCCCCGCCTCCCTCCTTTCTCCCTCCTAAGCGTGCAGTCTGTCCCACGCACCACGCACCACTGTGCTAGATGCTGGCAGCATCAAAAAGCGTGTGACAGTGTCCCGTGGTGCCCATCAATCTAAATCTCCCTCGTAGATTATTTTTCATCTGTGGATTTAAGTTGATAATTTACCTGCATTCAATTCTAGGAACCTGTATAAAAAGCCAACCTGGTTTTTTTTTTTCTTCTTTTAATAATTTCAAGCATCAAAGGTTTCCCAAGTAAAAAGAGATGCAGCAAAAAGGCCATTTTGGTGCATAAGGATAAATGCAAGAGAAGGCCCGCGGTTGGAGGCACAGCCTGTCTGCTGGCGATGCAGGCTCGCCTTGGCGCCCCAGCTGCTGGTCTGCTTGCTGCCATGGAGATGGACTTTCTCGGAACCCCCGAATCTGTGGTTTCTCAATCAGTACTAGTTGGGGAGCTGGGGTGGGTGAACCAGAGAGCCAGACTATCTCTTTCAGACCTCCCTGGGACTGGGCTTCGATGTGTGGCCACTGAACAGTGTGCTCTCTTCAGGCTCCTAGGAGCCCCTGCCAGGCAGATAGCAGAACCAGCCACCGACTCCCTGCTCCACCATCCCTGATAAAAATCCAGCCCGACCGACAGCAGACTCACCCCCCACTCTCTTTTCTTTTTGCCAAGAAAAGTATTAATTATCTGATTCTATGAGAGAGGGAGGAAGGGAGAGAATGAATGAGGTTTGGGCCTTGGTTGAAAACTCTGGAAATAGACAAAAGTCAGTGGGGGTTTAGCATGAAAAAGAAAGCTGGACCGCCCCGCCCAGAGGTCTGCTCCCGGCCCAGCGGGGCTGCTAAGGAAGTCTGCAGCCCTCTGTCAGCTCTGGCAGGACTAGATGTCCCCCAAACCGCCTCCTAGCTTCCCGAGTCCTGTTTCTAAAGGCTCCACGGAGCGTCCTGCACCCCAGGCCTGCTCTCGCCCGCCCTCCTGCCGAGTGCACACCAGCGTGGCTGGCACGGCCTCGGCCTCCCTCCCGCCTTAGAGGGGATCCCCAGGAATTCCAGGCCATCCAGGTGAGGCTCCAGATCAGCTGCCCACCCCGCCCCCTCCCTCCGGACAGCACACACGGGCCTCTTTGTTTGGTTAAATCTCTGACGGGAGAGGCGAGGGGTGTTGTCAGGAAACCCATCCAGGAGGTAGAATGTTCCCAAATGCCAGCCGGCAGGGAAATGAGCAAAAATGGGGGCACAGGCCACACCTCTGGTGACGGCCATTCCCGCGTGGCGTTCACTGGCGTGCGATTAGCAGGATTTGGAATGGGAAGCGAAGCTCTCCCCATTTCCGCCCATCTTTGAGGAGTTTTGGGGGACAGACCCTGGACCGTGCAGTACATTGGTTACTGGCCTCGGGCAGCTTAGTGGCCTAACTTGTTGAGTGAACTTGGCCTCCTTCAACATCTAATTTGCATATGTAGAGGTGAGGGGTGGGGGGGTGGAAGGAGGCTGACAGATGAGCCCCAAGGCTCCTCCAGGCTGGAAACTTCGAGACTCTACCCTGCGTCATGAAGGGCAGCCAGAGGGATCCAAGTTGTATGTAGGGGACCCCTCAGCCAAGGTCATCTCGAGCGAGGACAGGCGTTTGTCTGAGGCAGCAGGAGACTTAAGCAGGTGGAATCTGATCGGAACCCGACCTGGGGCTCTGTGCGGGCACAAATAATTAATGAGGACGGAAGAGCCAAGACGGGGGAGGGAGAGAGGAAGGGAAATGGCCAGGAACCTTCTCGGCCTCCGACTGGGACTTGCCAGTGGGTGGCGCTGTAGGACAAGGAGCTGAGGGACTCTCTGAGGACAGCCACTTCCGTCAGGGGCGGGGAGCACCCAGAGGCAGGGCTCTGCAGCAGAGGATGGAGGGTGCTGTCCCCAGGGCACCAGTCACAGCCCCAGCGAGTCCCACAGCGCCCTGTCTGCCTCCTGGGGCAAGACGTGATGATCAGACATACAAGAGATATCCTACAGCGCTCCCTAGCCGAGTCCACACTGCCTCCTTGGCCCAGGTCCTTGGAAAGGCAGGCCCGGAGCGGCCCCTTACCGGTGGGCATCCTTCCGGTTGTCATAGCAAAGTTTGCCCCACCCTTCGGTGGCTGGAGCCTGACTTCAGGTCCTTCAGGAAACTCCATGTCCTAATGAGCCCCCTTCCCCTTTGCACAGGGAATTTCAGAGCAAAAAAGTGGGTTCAGTTCAAAATAGCTTTTCCATCTCAATGCACCTGGACACGCAGGCCTTTGTTCCTTTGAAATCTCACCCTCGCCCCTCATGGCTCACGGGGTCTCGTCGCCCCTTCTCAGTGCCCTCGATTAACAAGAAAATGATAATTCACATTTATCTGTTGCTTAAAAGTGCCAGACCCTGTGCCTATCACGTTACACACTCTTTAATGTAGTCACAGTCTACAACCGTCCTGTACTGAGTCATGGTTCTGTCTCACCGACAAGCACAGAGAGGTTAGGACACTTGCTCAGCGTTGCAGAAATTGCTAGGTGGAGCTGGGATCCAGGCTCTTGACTGGCGGAACGGCTGCTCAGCTCAGTGGCCAGGCTCCTCGGGCACAATGCCTTCCCACACGGGCCCCCTGTGGGTTAGAAGGCTTCAGGCGGCTTTCGCCGAGATGAGTGGGGATGCCTGTTTCCCTCCGGCTCACGTGCTAAGGGGGGATTTCAGGCCTTTGGGATGGCGTGGGGTCCTGGAAGGCCCTGGCTGAGCCAGATCCCCGAAGGGGTTAGTATGTGTGGCATTTTCATGGAATCAGCTTCCAATGAGCTGCAGCACTAACGTTGGCGGGGGGAAGGGGCTGCTTAAGAAACTCACTCAGATCTCTGATCACCAGGCGCAGCTATGTCTCCCTGCCAGGCGCCGCCTGTAGGGGGCATGAGTCACAGCGGACTTTCACGTGGTGAGTCATCCCACACTTCCCGTGTGCCGGGCCCTGGACCTGAGACCCCTGACCCACACACGCCCCTTCTGGAGAAGAAGACAGGGGTAAACAATGTGACATAGTTTTGCAGAGAATAAAACAGGTTGGTGAGAATTTAACCAGGGGCCATTTCAGAGAAGGCCTTTTGAGGAGGGGACTTGAATTTCCAGCTAAGATCTGAATGATGGGAAGGGGTGGGCAGGTGACATTCTGGGGTCCAGGTGCCCCAGGGCTGATGGAAAAGCAAGCAGAAAGCCTAAGGCCAGTGAGCACGGTGGCCTGTGGACAGTACCAGAAGGGGCAGCCTGGTGAGAAGCGGGGGACTCACTTCCAGATGGAGAGAGGGGAGCCACCAGAGGCTAAGGGGCTGCTCCCCGGAGACTGTGTTCTTTGGGTGACGCAGGGAGATGGTTAAGGAACCTCCTGCGATGCTCCGGAGAGATGATGGTGCTCAGAGGAAAGTGGATGGATCGGGAGGTGCTGGAAGCAATGCCGACGGGCTTATTGATGGATCGTGAAGGAAACAGAGTAGTGAAGGTTTGTGGCTTCAACAGCTGGATTAAAGGTGGTTTCGTTTATGGGATGGGAAAAATAGACGGAGAAGCAAGTTTGGTAAGGAAAAAAACATCACGTGTTCTGTCTTAGCTGTGTTGGTTTGAGATGACGATCAGACGCGTCAGTGGGGGCTGCAGAAATGAGTCTGGAATTCCAGGCAGGAGTCCTCGGACTAGACGTGGGCTTCGGAAACTCAGAAATGGGCCTGACTCAGCACAGGTGCTGTCGGAGGGGCGTCCTGGAGGAGGTAATCTACCGTGGAGGGTCTCCACATGGTGACGGCATCACCTGAAGAGTGTGAGGCTGGTTCTCTCACCAGGTATAGCTTTATTAGTTTTCAAATAAAGACACAAGAGGAGGAACATCAGTAGCATTTTAATTTAAAATAGAGCCGTATAATTCGTGGGGAGAAGCCAAAGAACATGCAGAGAGACAGAGGTGAGAACGGCCTGGACTTCCTCAGCCTGTGCTCTCTCTTTCTAGGGGTTGACCTTCCAAGGTCAGTCTTGATGGACAAGCCCACCTCGGCCTGCCTGCCTGACAGGGCGGCACACGGAGGAGGTGGGGGCAGCCCCCCGGTAATGAGCGTTGGGTCTTCCTGCTGCTCAAGGTCCCAGAGAGATAATACTGCCATGGTGAGACGTCGAGCATCCCAAAAAGAGCAATTAAAACTTGTGTTTGGAATAGAAAATGAGGCTTTCAGAGCATGTTACTGTCATGCTTTCTGCAGGAAATACACAAGATGTTCTTAACACTTAATGAGCAGAGTCTTGGAACCAACCCTTGGCCTGGAGTCTCAAATCGGCCTGGTAATTTGGGTTTATCTGATCAGGTCGGGGCTTGAGAAGAGAGGGTGGGTGGCCTGGCAGAGGAAGGGGTGCCCCTGGCTAGGGGGTCGCTGGGGCTACGGTGAGCTAGCGTCGGCTAATATGGAGAGGGGGACATTTAGCAAAAATAGTTAACCTAAGCTTGGATCTGAGGTCCTTGCAAAGCAGAATCCTCGTAAAAATAAGGGAGTTTGTTACGTGAGTTGGGGCCAGAAAAGTGAGTCCTTCTGGAACTTTCTGCTGTCAGGAGGGCTCTGAAGCGCTAAGGGTGGGTGTAGTTGCCCGCCCTCAGGGTGCCCTGGCGCACGGCGCACTCTTCCCGGTGGGCTCTGAATGCTCTCTGCCGATCGGCCTCCGTGGGGAAGGTGTCGAGATGGGGACCCACCTGTGGACAGAGGGGAGAGTGGTCAGCGGCGTGAGTGGCCTGGGGGCTCGTCCCGGGCGTTCCCCTCCCCTCTCCTCTCCCTTGTCCGCCCCCGCGTCCACTCAGAGTGATAATAAAAATGGCTTTGAGGGAGAAAGCAGCGAAGAGTGAGCACCATGAGTGTCCTGGCACCGAGCGGTGACGATCTGCGGGACAGAAGGTGGCCGGAGCGCGGCTCCCGGGTCCCAGCGCATCGGCCTTCTCCCTTCCGTGCAGCTCGTTGCCAGGGAGATGTGCGCCTAATGGATACCGCCTGACGACGACTGGAGTCGCTGGGCGGTGGGACCTGGTAGCCAGCGTCATCCTTCACATGCTGACTTCCCGCCGTGTAGACCCCCGAACAAGCCGCCTTCTCCGAGGGGACCTCCTGGGGCTGTCACAGTCCTTCACAGGAGGGTGATCTAAGTCCCCTCCTGCCGGTGGGCAGCCCCCCAGGCGTCAGGCCGACACGCAGCACCCCCAGAACCAGGGTTCAGAACCATCGTCACCTCTCCCTTCTCGGGGAGACATGCGAGGGATACAGATCCAAGGAGCGGACGCCTTTTCAATTAAAATTTTATACAATCAGCATTTCAGAGCCCTTCCTTCTCAGGAAAGCCTGTCTGCGGGGTCTGTCACCTCCAAGAATGAGAAAAGGCATTTCTCCTCTAGGACAGGCTAAGGGAGGCACCGGTGGAGAGGGCGGAGGCTCGCTTGTTTATTTACTCCTTTCTTCCCGCCGTCCTCCCTCCCTCCATTTAACTCACATTTACTGAGCACAACTCTGTGCCAGGCACTGGTGGTACAGCGATAATCAAGGCGGACCCCTCTCCCCTCACGAGGCCGTCGGTCTAGAGGGGCAGTGACATGGAGGATAAATGCGCAACGATTTCGTCACAGTGGGCAGAGCGGCAGGGCGGGGTCGTGCAGTGAGAACAGAGAGCATGAGTTCACCCCTCTCCCCACATCGAGGGGCCTCTCTAGGGAAGAGACACTTTGGGGGAGGCTTGAAGGCTGAGCAGGGGCTAAGGGGACAGCATGGTGCTGGCCCTGGGGCTCCCCCGGAGCCCAAGTTCACAAGGCGGCTGAGGCGGAGGGCTAGCAAGTGGATTCCCTGTGGGTCTGCTCTGCCGTCTTCAAGGCGAAGCAAGACTCGTGTCTCAGAATGGCCACAGCCTCTTGTCAAGCATCCGGGCTGGGGGCGGTCCCCCCTGGGGGAGTTGAACAGGCCCACAGGGCTGCTGGCAGCTTTCGGTGACAAAGGTAAGAGAAAGGAAGAATGGGAAGAGGGTAAAATATGAAAAGGAAGGAGGAGGAAGACAAGGAGGAACTTGTAGAAGAAGCCTCTGCGCTGCCCACTCCCCCGCCGTGCCCCGGATGCCGGTCCCAGCAGGGAGCACTTTCCCCCAGGGAAAGTCGTGACCCTTAGCCAGAGCCCGTGGCCCAACCGTGGCTTCCTGTGGCAGGGAACTGGGTAATGTCTCTCCTGAGGCCAAGTGCAGAGCTAACGTGCCGTCCTGGGTCCTTGAGACCTACACCTGCTGCTTTGCTCCGGGACACCTGAGCCTCCCTCCCCTGTCTCCGGTCCACGGTCTGGGCCACCGCTTAGGGTCAGCGAGACCCATACCTCAGGTCCCGACTTCAGATCCGGGGAGCCATGCTCATCATCAGGGGGAATCAGGCAGGTCGGGGTGCACAGGGGCCCAGCAGAACCCGACTTGACTGTTCACCAGAGAAAGTCTGCCCCACCGGTTACCGGTAGCAGAGAAACTGTTTTAGCATCCCCCGCCCCACGCGCAACCTCTAGGCACTAAGTTCTGGAACTTTTCTAGAATATTCTGCTGCAGCTGCCACTTATGCCGACGGGACAGGGGACTGCGGAAGCGCGTTAGAAACTCGTGAAAACCAACCGATGACAAGTAGATTTAGTTAGTTTATTCGGGACATAAAACCGCAGTCTTTGTCTCGGGGGGAGGTAGACCTTTTGAGACTCTGCCACGACTCTCTCCTCTGGAAGAATAAAACACAAGTCCTAACGTATGAAACAGCGCGCGCCCCTCCGCGGAGCCTCCCCCGCCGCCTCGGCAGCGGTCCGGGGGGCCAGCCCTGCTCGGCCTTCGGTTTCGGATTTGCTGGGTGACTCGGCGAAGGGCCCTCATCACAGCCTGAGCCCACCTGGGCCCAGAGCTCAGGACTTAGTGCTCACTCGATCGATCAAACCGTGATCTTGTTCCCTGTTCAATCGATCAAACCGTGATCTTGTTCACTCGATCGATCAAACCGTGATCTTGTTCCCTGTTCAATCTCCAGCTTCAGAAAAACTCCCGAGTGGCCTCGCGGAAGTTATGGAAAAAAAATAGCCAGAAAACAGAGGCTTCCAAGGTGCACCTTCGCATCCCCTCTGGCAAGGGGTGGCTTGCTTTTTACACTGTGACATGATTTGCCTGACATGGGAGGTCCCCAGAAGCCAGCTAGGGAGGTTTGGGAAGGCTGGCATGCCGGGTCTCGGGGGGCCCCGTGGGCACCCCGCCTGAGCGCTACGCCCAGCCGCCTGGGACTCCAGGTCTCCACAGTCTTCTGTGGCTTTCAGAGTGGCCATCGTTATGTCCCTGGTGGCTAGTCACCAATGGCTCTTCACAGGGGAGTGTAGCTCTGCGTCCACATCTCTGTCCTATCCACACACCCTGGCCCTTGTCCTGGGCTGAAGGGTGACCCCCGAAAGAGATGGTCATGTCTTAACCCCCAGAGCTGCGACTGTGACCTTGTTTGGGAAAAAGGGCTTTAAAGACGTAATTAAGGATCTCGAGATGAGAACAGCCTGGGTCATTCAGAGGGCATCCTGACAAACATCCTTACGAGAGACAAGCATCCGTATCAAAGACTAAAGACACAGCACAGAGGGGAAGGTCGTGTGAGGTGAAGCCATGAGTTGGAGTCATGTGGCCACAGCCCAGGAGCACCAGGCGCACCAGGAGCTGGAAGAGGCAAGGCGACGGTGGGTGCTGTTGACAGTGGGTGGTGGGTGGTGTTGACGGCAGGTGCTGTTGACGGCGGGTGGTGGGTGCTATTGATGGTGGGTGGTGAGTGCTGTTGATGTTGGGTGGTGGGTGCTGTTGATGGCGGTTGGTGGGTGCTGTTGACAGTGGGTGGTGTTGATGGCGGGTGGTGGCTGTTGGTGATTTGGTGCTGATGGACTCCCCTAAAAGCTGACTCAAGCAAAAGCTTACTCCCCTCCCCCAAGTGGGACAGGTCTTTAGAAGAAGGGAAGTTGGCCCTATTCTGTACCCACAGAACCCCGAATCCCCAAGCAGAGCACAGGAGTTCACAGAGCGGGGACTT